TTGAGGTGTCGTCACTTGAATTAGAAAGCTAACGCGATAATATTTCTTTTGAAGTACGAAAATTAGGTCTAGAGACATACTCAATTTCAGTCATGCGTTAGTCATCATGTTTCACGCGTAACTTGATTTTCGTAAACCCGTTTGAGGTGCCGCCAGTTGCGTTAGAAAGAGAATTTAATGATCTTTTAGATTGGAGAGTTTCATATTTTTATTATGAGTATATAATTTTTCGTGCTATTTTAGAGTTTATACACGAATTATTGCGATATGGCCGAACTGAAACGAATATAACTGGAGTGTTGTAACTTCGTTTGAGGTGTAGTTAAGTACTTTTGAAAGAAGATTTAAAGAAACTTTAGATTGTAGAGTTTCATAATTTTATCATTAGTCTATAATATGTTGTGCTATTTTGATGTGAGACAATTTTAGAGTTAGGTTCAGAGTTTTAAGCAACTTTGAGTTTGGTGACCTTTCGTTGCCTTGTTAATAAGTTTAGGGGTCATATTTGTTATGTGAGAGCTTCTTAGAGTTGTTAAAGAGTTTTTAGATTTATTTTCGAGTTGTTTATAGTTAAATCTGATGAGCTTTAGAGTTGAAGTAAAAATATTTGACTCTTTAAAGTTGTTTTGTGTTATATTCTTATTTGAGACCGCCAACCAATAGAGTTCATAGGAGTCATCTTTATATTCAAGAGTTGTCAATAGAATACTTTAGAGTACTTTGAAATATTTAGAGTCATTTAGAGTTATTTGAGAGTTGTAGAGATTGTTTTAGAGTTCGCCTTAAGAACCTTGTTGAGTAAAAGACAAGAACGGTTACCTTTTTGATAAGTTATGAGTATACATAAATTATTATTATAATTACTACTCTGTTGATGCGTTATGGGAATTTTTCTTAGTTGATGAACAATTTGAGTTGATGGGTAAATTGACTTGCTGAGTAATAATATATTTTTACTTTATTGTTAATTATTTGTGATTACTAATATAAATATTTGAGATGTGTAATTTTGTGAGAAATTATGGTGTTAGTTTTATATAGGCAAAATTATGATTCAGAGAAGAATCTTTTGAGTATGAGTAGAGTATATTTTTCTGTTGTTTTGAGCTTTGTGATTTCTGTTGCCATGTTCATGCACACATGTATATTATAGTTAGGTAGGATTTTGGTCTAGTGAGGTCGGGTTCAGAGAGGAACCATGATGATCTCATATTTTGAGAGGAACACGGTTCAGAGAGAAACCAAAGACAGAGATATATTAGTAATACACCTCTGATGCCCAAAATCTTGGTACCACGTGCATTCTTGGAGGAGAAGTATATTTCATTAGTAAACTTGCAGTGTGATTGTTGTTGTTGTTTTGTGAATTATTGTACGAGAAGGATAATTAACGTTATGTATGACTATCATAACCGTTTATTACATTGTTACCATTATGCATTATTTCTCACCCCCTTTTTGTTTGTTTTTGTTGCTTGTTAGGCCGATGATACAGATACTCAGGTAGAGGATCCTTAATTGCAATTGAGCTGAAGGATGGCGTTGCGACCTTTTTCATGGTTTCTCAATTTTGAGTTTATTTTAGATTTTGTGGTGTCACTCTGATATGTAACACTGGAACGAGAATTGTGTTGATTTATGTTTTGTTTTTCTAAAATATTTTGTGGGACTATTTTCCTTATGATTGAGTATTGAACTTTGGTTTTAGAATTATTTTGTGGGATTATTTTCCTTATGATTGAGTATTGAACTTTTGTTTTAGAATTATTCAGTTATACTTGTTTGAGGTTATCCGCTACGTGTTTTTGAAAAATATTTGAGAAGTATATTTATTTTAAAAGAGATGTGTGACACCCTTGGTGCTTAAATGTATTTTATTCTTATGATTTTAAGTAAATAAGAGTCGGGGTTTTTTAGGATGTTACAGTGAACCTCAATTGTTTTGCAGGTGGATGTAGAAGATTAGTGGATTTGAATTTTACATCATTCTTCTTGCTACACGACCAATAGTGCTTATACAAAATTGTATGAAGTTGACGTCAACAACAATCAGACTAACTCCCTATTTTTGTGGTTGAATACTGTGTCGCTTAAGGTATCTATTTTTTCCTGGTGGTTGTTACTGAATCGTAGTCCGACTAAGGACAAATTGGCTAAGAGGCAAATTCTTACCACGAATGATCAAAGAAGTGTGGCGAATTGTGGAGTGGATAAAGACATAGATGATTTGTTTGTAACACATGATTTTTTTGGTAGAATATGGTCTATTATTTTTAATTGGTTAGGGTTTTCTATGACATCCCAAGGAATAATTTTGGATCACCTCTTGGAGTTTGGTGGGTTGGGTGGTTTTTCGAAAAATGTTTAGTTGACTTTTAATACTATTTAGTTCGTGGTGGTTTGGGTTATCTAGAAAGACCGAAATATGTGTATTATCTAGAATAAAGCGGAGCAATTGCAGACGTTATTTGAAAGAGTAAAGTTTAAGTTGTTTTGGTGGTTAAAATCGAAATATACTTCTTCAATTATGATTACAAATCATAGAGGTTAAATCATTTATCTTGCTTATCAACTATTATGTAGACCATATTTTACTGATTTTTGTCTTTAAAATTTTGAGTTGTAAGTTTGAATTCTTTCTTTTCATTTTCGGTATATCTTGTACTAAATTGCCTTGTTTTGGTCGTTAATATATTATGTTTTAAAAAATGAATAATATAGTAAATTATAAAATACTCCACTCAACCTAAAAATAAATATTTTAATTAGTATAATAAATTTTGAAATACTCCACTCAACAGTACAATAAAATCTAAAAGCCTCCACTCAACTTTAAAATAAATATTCCAATCAATATAATAAATTCTAAAATACCCCTTCAAAATTAGAGGTGATAATTAGATCCATTAATATAAAATTCACCCAATTTATCCATAAAAAAATTTATCCAAGTTAATAATTTGGATTAAATTCACTCATTTATATTCATGAAATTCATTCAATACATTTAACATATTTTAATGAGCCAATAGACTATTTTGTCTCTGTTAGATTTATTTTTTAAAAATGAGTTTTTTTAAAACATAATTGTCTTTTTTTATTTAAAAAATCGAATTTTTTGGAAAGTACACAAATTCAATTTTTTTTTTCAAAAATACAAAAAAAAAACGATTATTTTTTTTCGAAAAAATTCAAAAATACAAAAAATACATTTTTTATTGAATACAAAAATTTGATTTTTTTTTCAGAAAATAAAAAAACCTTTTTTCTTCCAAAAATACAAAATAACAACTTTTTTTGACGTATATTTAATTTTTTTTCCGAAAATATAAAAAATTGATGGTTTTCCAAAAACAAAAAAAAAATATTTTTTCTCAAAAAGAAATACAATATTTTGGATAATATAAAAAATTGATTGTTTTCTAAAAATAAAATAATTGATTTTTTTCCCCAAATTATAAAAAAAATGGCTTGAGTTTTTCTAAAATAAAAAATCAATTATTTTTTTAAAAAAAGTTTTGATTTTCTTGAAAATATAAAAAATTGATTTTTCAAAAAAATTTTTTTTTTTCAAAAATAAAAATAAACAAATTTTTTTACGAATAGATATTCATCTCCGAAAAATATGTTAATGAATGAATTAAATAAAATCTTTTTAATAGATGAATTGGATTTAATAATTTAAAAAAATTTTAATAAAATAATAAATTGATTTGATTCATTTATTAAGAATTTAATCCACATTCAATTCAATTTATCTATTTTACCATCTCCAATCAATTCTAAAATACTCCACTCAACATAAAAAAAATATATATATAAAAGAACTAAATCAAATTCGTCACTCATTCTAAAATGTCATAAGTGTAACAATATTCTTGAAATATATGCCTGAAATAAGTAAAAAGAGAAAAATTAATAAAGTTATTTTTTGATTAAAATACATTGAAAGACTCTAAAATAACTAAATCGAATTAAACGACATTAATTAATTGTTTGAAGTTACAAAACTCAATTTTCGAAAATTTTCTAAGATGGGTAAAGAAATTGTCAATTAATAAAAAAAGTATTATCAATTTTTTCAAAGGTTAAACCTTTGAACTTGGAATCATCCATGGTGTTCTCCATCTCCAACCCACTTTTCTGTTTCCTCGTTCTCTTTGTCTTTCAACCCTTTCATGCTGCGGTGGCTGAAAGTGGTTCATTTCGACGACCCTTTTCAACCCACAAAAGGCCCGTCCTTTTCAACTGTAGAGATTTGGTGTTGAAGTCAAAGTGTTCTCAGTACTCCAAATGCAGATGGTGCACAAGTCAAGTTCTTGATGATACTTGTTTCGCTAAATCTGAAGCTTTAAGGTTGCCTCATCAGGTTTTCTCTTGTGGGTCCACTTGTTTTTTCTCCTCTGAATTTGTATTGTTATTATCACTTTCACTAACCAATTTCGTGTGTTTTTTTTCTTCCTTGATCTGTATGATTTGATTTGCTAGAGGTGGTGATGTTGTATATTGAATTTTGCTTTTGTTGTTGCTATGATTTTGCTTCCAATTGTACTTGAGACATGATTGCATTAGAATCCCAGGAGTCCAGGACAATCTTTCTGATAAGATAATGTTTATGCTTTGTGTTGTGACGTTATAAAAAACGGTCGGAACACGACAAAACTGAATCGGAAGATACCAACATCGATGCTATTATTCACCATTTTTACATAAAGAGCAAATTATTTTTCGTTTAGACCGCGACAACTGCAACAGCTATACCAACCAAAATTCGTGAAAATCTTTATGCGATTGCACCAGCCACCCTTATTTATTTAAAACCTTGGTTGTGACATATGGGTTTCAATTACCTCAAGTCAATTGACTTATGGAAACACAGAGTATTGTCGTCTTTAGGTGCGAGAATATTTGCGTTTTTGCCCTTTGAAAAACGCATTTTGAGCAATACATTAATGTTGAAGATTCATCTTTCATATTTCTTTCATATCTCATACATTTACATGGCATTGGAAGCAGGTTCTGATTCAGATGCGGAGAAGAATAATTCCTCCAAATCAAAGGCAGAAGCAACCACATCGTCTTCACCTTGTCATCATAATCCATCCGAATTAGCCTTTGAGGACGGAACATTTGAGAAGCCAATCGAGTCATCTGAAAAAATTTATGTTTGTGAGAAAGCTGACTCCATGGTCACCACATGGATCATCAACTCCATAGATGCATCGCGTTCTGCAACAACGAGAGTCAATGATTGGCTAGACATGGAAGAAAGATTCGCTCAAACCAACGCACAGCGCATCCACCAATTATGGAGAACTCTGAGTTCACTCCAGCAAGAGTCCAAAATGACCGTAACTGAATATTACAACAGGTTTAAACGTCTCGCCGATGAGCTAAGTGAACAGCAATCACTTCTTGAACAGAAATGTGAAGCTGCTAAAGAGATTATGCAGAGAGAAGAAGACAGTCACGTCATTCTCTTTCTTAGTGGCCTTGATGGATATCTTTATGCTGACATCAAAAGAACCATTGTAAATATTGATCCACTTCCTTCCCTTAAAGAAGCTTTCAATTACGTATTAAGGGAAGAAGCAAGGCTCAATGCAGATATTATAAGGGAAGTGAAGCAACAAAAAAGTTCTGGTTTTCATTCATTCAAACAGAAAAGTAGTGATGATATAAGGACTGAATGTGACGATTGTGAAACGATTGGATTACAAGATGGATCCGAATTTTTCGATTAGTTAAAGTATTCAAAATATATTAATGATAAAAAAATAATACAAGATTAATTGATACCTGAAGAAATAGACATACATGTCTGCGTTTCATGGAACGAGGTTAAGGGTCATTTTTTAAGTGCACTCAATTACAGTCCAAGTTCCATGTGTATGTTTGGCAACAACAAATCTAAATGCAAATGGATCTTAGAGAGGATACTATCACACCACAGGACTCTATCATATTCAATTCTCTAAGAAAATTACTACTAATTTCACCCTAAGAGATAGAAAAACACCTTTAAATATCTGTTTAGATTTTGAAGATGCATCTCTAAACATACAATTTGTCTCATTGAATAACGTCCTAAATGAGTGTTACCACATGGTTTTTTAAAATTTTATCACGGAGATGTATTTCCAGACATGTCCAAAATATTTATTGATTGTTTAGTAGACTAGTGGCTTTTTCGAAAGTGTATTTCTGAAATTTTGAAGCGGAAATTTGAAATCCTGCCTCCTTTGCATTTCAGTGGTTTTTGGAGATGTATTTCAAAAAATATCAAACAAGTTTTTTAATAAAACAATATCTTGCATGATCAGATCTCATACCATACCAACTTTTGCTCAAAACCCTTTTAAAAAACTCTTTCATTCTCAATCAAGATTTTCACTCTAAACACTCATTCTTGTGTTTCATCACATAACTAGTATAATACTCGTGCGGATAAAATTGTTTGATATTGTAATTATGATATTTTGAGATATATTTGTTAAAATGTTTGAGATATTTTGAAAGCAGTTGAAGAAATTAAATGGAAACAGCTGAAAAAATTAGAGTTCTTTTGATATAGTTTATAAGTTTATAAAATGATAAAAATATAAATTTCATGTCATGTCATTAACTTGACAACTCATTAAAAAAAATCCCAAAACATGACAACTTTAGGGACTAAAAGCATGAAAAAATTAAAAAGAAACTAAAAGTGCATTTAAGTCAAAATTATAATATTATAGTAGTTAAATGAAAGAATGATAAATTGTCTTGCAGAAAATATAATGTATATTTGACAAATATTATTAATGATCCATAATAAAAACATATAAATAAAAGAAAATATAGCAAATATTAATACAATATTAAATTATTTAGACACATATGTAAATTTAAAATAAATTACTTAATTGTAAAATGATTAATGATCATATAAAATCAATTGCATTAAATAAACATTTAAAAAGATAAAAATAAGACATGTCTAATGGAAAAAAATAAAACAAAAAATTGATATTTAAAAATAAAGATTTTATATCTCAAATGTAATTGTTAATTAAAATACCATATATAAATGTCAAGTTTAGCTTAAAATTTATGTGATAGCTAGCACGAATAATTTTAATTGATACAGTATAAATTGTATTTAAATGGACATGTAAATTTTAAATAAATTATTTAATGGTAAAATAAACGTTGATCATATAAATTTAATTGTATTAAATAACAATATAAAAAATAACATGTGAAAAGGAGAAATAAAAATAAAATTTAATTTTTTACATTTAAAAATAAGAAATTTATCTCTTAAATAAAAACAGTTATTAATTAAAATAAAATATGTATTATACTAATAATGACTCCTGCAATAAAAAAATTATTATCTTATATTTATGTGTATCTTAACCATTATGATGTTATTTATTTGTAATATTTTTGAAGAATCACAAAATAAATTTTTTAAAATTTACTTTCCTTTAAGATTTGGAAAAGTAATATTTTAAAAAACTGGTTTCTTAAAGAATTTTGTAACATCTTAACATTTATCACATATATAATTATACAATAAATATTTATTAAAGAAAATTATATGTTCATCTTTAATAAATAATCATTTTTTAATTAAGTAGTTAATATAGATAATTTTAAAAAAAATTGATTTATAAAATAAAAAAGTTATGTTTAATTTTAAAAAAAAATATATTGAGAATTTTTTTTTTAATATATCATTGGCTTGCAACTTTGTATTTGTGTTTTAAAAAAAACATACAACTTTTTAGTCATATTCTTTATTTATTATTTAAAATTAAAATGTAGTTTCTCAGTAAAAAATTAATTAAAAAAACTTTTTAAAGCTCTTATTATAAACGTATATATTTAATTTAATGCATTATAACTTCATCTTAATTCTTAGTAAAAGATTGATAAAAAATTTACAATATTATTTTATTAAATGAATTAAATTTGATATAATTGTAATCAATTGTATGACTATTTTTTTTTAAGTAGATAATAAAATTAAAATTTTTTTTCCAGTATATAGTGATAACTATTCACACGTGTTTCACTTAAAATTTTAAAAATTTTGTTAGTTTGTATATTAAGTTAATATAATTTTATATAATTGTTCTTATATTTTCATAAATAAAATATGTGTTCACCGAAAATTAGTACTGCATTCTACTATAAATTTATTTTTTTAACTAATTAATAAATAAATACATCAACTCTTTTTTTTTTAAACAACAAAATAAAAATTTATATTAAATAGCAGTGGCATAAGCTATGCCAAAAATTACACACCACCAGCAACCTTGATACAATACATTCATACTAAACATACACCAGCAACCTTGATACAATAGATATATGCATTCATACTAAACATACAGAATCAAAATCAACCACCCATTTACTACAAACTCAAACCACTTATCCAATATAAATTACAGTCATCTTACTAACTATATTACTCCTAAATAGACACCAAACTCCCAACCAAATAGACCCCAAACTCCTAACCAGGCTCGAAAACTTAAAATGAATGCATTCATATCAAATACCAAATTAAGACTCCATTGAGGCAGGTAAGGACAACAACACCCCAGCTACACTAATTGAGAATCATACAAAAAAAGCACATAACCAAAAATGAATACTGGCCTCAGAGATGAAACATAAAGAAACAACAAAATCCATTAAGATCTCCCAAAACCGCGTTGTTGTGAGATTTCAACACAAAAGGATGATAACAATCAAAATCGAACTGAACTCCAACAGCCAAAAATCATAAGCCGCTGCTAACATCTACTAAGAACCAGCTACATCAGATGCACTTAAAATAAATGAACACTTCTACATGTAACCAAACAAAATAAAAATTTCCAACATTTCCAACAGGATAACAATTCAACCTGCACTGACAGTATGAAACTAATCCCACATGAATTAAAATCCACAAATTCTTAAATGACATCTTTAACATAATAATTGATTAAACAAAAGAAATAAATAGGGATAGAATTTTGTATAATCATACCATTCAAGAATATACAATTTTACTTTCCCTTCCTACTTTTGCATAGAATCTGAATCCTAACTAACTTTCCCACCTCTAATCTCAATCCTAAGATGCAACTATGATAGGAAGTGTTTTCCTCTCTGCAACTCTTCAGACCTTAGTTGAGAAACTTGCTTACAAAAAGTTTCTTGATTACATAAAAACATCAAGCTCGATGTCTCATCCAAATTAATACTGTTGATGTCAAAGTATTTAGTTCAAAAGAAGAGTGTTTTTGTATTAAATAGCATAGCATCTGTCAAAGTATTTTGTTCTTAAACAGCATAGCAGACAATGTGAACAAATTGGTTATAACTTGCTAGGGACTTAAATGATGGTCAATATAATATGCTTCAAGAAATGTCACCAAACATGCTATTCATAAGATGTATAAAAGCATACTTTAATCTATGGACCGAAACATTTCGTTAAAAGCATAAATCAATTGTATACTAAAACATTTCAGTCCTTGTGCTTACTCTATTCTGTTGTATATTAAATACTATCTAATTGAAAGAGCTAAATGTCATAAAATATAATGAATGTCATAGGCAAAAGACATCAATGTCATAAAATATAATGAATTTCATCAACCAAAGGCTTCAAAATAAGAATCAACAATTAACTCTAATAAAATATTTATATGCTATTTACATAATACAATCAAATTGTTTGACTATCTTGATTAAATTGTTTAATTGAAACTATATAAACAAAAATACCTCAAAAAGTTGCACAAATAAATTGTTCAACACAAATTTGAGTGTTACCACATGTTTTTTTAAAATTTTATTATGGAGATGTATTTTCAGACATGTCCAAAATATTTATTGATTGTTTAGTAGACTAGTGGCTTTTTCGAAAGTGTATTTCTGAAATTTTGAAGCAGAAATTTGAAATCCTGCCTCCTTTGCATTTCAGTCGCTTTTGGAGATGTATTTTCAGAAATATCAAACAAGTTTTTTAATAAAACAATATCTTGCATGATCAGATCTCATACCAACTTTTGCTCAAAACCCTTTTAAAAAACTCTTTCATTCTCAATCAAGATTTTCACTCTAAACACTCATTCTTGTGTTTCATCACATAAAAAGGAGCAAAAGATTGAATTTATAGTAAAGATTGTTTATTTAAATCCTCATTGCTCACATTAATCTTGTTTTGTTAGCTGAAAAAATTTATGTCGAATTCGGAAACGTATTTTGGAGTATGTTTGTTTTCATTTGCCACCAATTTGTTTTCAATTTCATTTATTTTTGAATATTTTATGTTATTCTTTTAATTAGATATGGCTTATCCCAATGTTTTTCCCAAATATTGTGTCTCTAGATGCCAAACGTGTTGTTGTGAAGGAGGTAGATGTAGGAAACCAATTTAAAAATTGACAAGAGTTTGAATTTTATGATCACATATTTCAATGGATTCGTATGCATGCATCCAAATTAGGGTTTGGTGTTATAATTGGAAGGTCCAATAATGGTCTGGATAGAAGAGTTGCATTTGTGACAATGACATGCGAAAGAAGTGGAAAATATAGAACTCCTTTTCAAAAATGTCTTTTCGAATTCTGTATGAACTCATCCAAAAATGCATTTTTAAGTCTGTCTGTTTTCATTTGCCGCCAATTTATTTTCAATTTCATATGCTTTTGAATATTTTATGTTATTGTTTTCATTAGATATGGTGCAT